TATTGACAATGTATAATAATGAAGAAAGTAAAAATTCTTCGTTATTATTCATGATTTCCATAATAATTATTCTTTGTCCCAAACTTAAGGTAACTTTTAAACAATTCGGAGTCTTTTTTATAGTTATCAAAATAATTGTTTTACGCAAAATCACCGTTTAAAATGTTTAATATCTTAACTAGTGCTGCCATCTATCTACATTGTATAATATTAAAAATGAGTATTATAATGAAAATCTGTATCGTAATGAAGTTCATTATGATACAGATTTTAATCGTTTAATAGCGTATTATGAAATGTCAGTAGAAAAATATAATTGTGTACCTTACATTAAAGAGGGGGTGTGACCCTAAAAAACGACTTAAGCTACCTAAATCAAGAAAAAAATTCTAAGATCTCTCGTGAAAACCGCAGTCCTATATTCGAAATAGTCTCCGAGAAAATTCCTTATGAAGATCCAGGAACTTGTGATGTCACAACCGCCGAAATCGGATTCTTCTGTTCGTTCAGTCGTCAGTGAGGAGATAATTTCTTTTGTTTTGGGAAAGTTTTATACGTGCTAATACTGTCCCTGATAATCCAGTGTGACATCACAAACAACTATTTGTAACTTTAAACCGTCATAACTCGAAAACGGACCATCGTAGCAAAATGCGGTTTGAATACTTATTCTTAGATTTTTTTGTACTAAAACTTTCATTTTTGGGTCACACCCCCTTTAAGCTGCGTAGGTATTATTGGGGGTATTATTTTAGCGACCTTGCTTCTAAAATAATATGTAATAATTGGGTAGTGGAGAAAACTTCCTAAATATCCTATTTATTACCTTATATTTCGATACCTATAGCAAAGTGGCGACAAGAAAAAAATAGTTATTTACATTACAAGTGCGTATATGAACATAATTACAATAACGAGTGTGAAAGATTCTAATCACACGAGTTTTGTAGTCATGTTTAAACGCACGTGTGATGTACAACTTTTTATCTACAAAGGGAAAAATAAGAATTTTTTTTCAACCATTATCCTTTATTAGTCGTTGTATACCTTCATTTTACCTCTACAGGTTTAATTTTGACATTTGTCAAATCACCAAAAATAGTTGTGTTATGAATTCATAACCTTGTCCATAACACCACTAGTTGTGTTATGAATTCATAACCTAGTCCATAACACAACTAGTTGTGTTATGAGCCTCATGACATAACGCAAATACTGGAAAAATAGTTTTGTAAAAACGTCATAGCCAAACGCTTGTAGATAAAAAAAATTATATCAGAGTTCGAAAAAAAATTAGAATAAGTGCATAAAAAAAAAAACTTTAGTCATCATTACTTTCTCTAAAAAAACACTTTTTCATTCTTATATTGAAATCAAATCCATGAAAAAACTGTTGTGCAATAAAAAAAATTAATAAGTAAGTAAATTATTTCATAACATTATCTCGACTAGACTTGGGAATATGAAATTTAAGGGATATTAAAAAAAAAAAATTCAACATCACTTTCCAGTTTTGACAATAGTTTATCTCACTTGCACCATGAGTTAAACAGAGGTTTAAATTTTAACAAAGGTTTTTTTTTCGTAACTGACTTGCACCGCAAGTTAATCCTTGTTTAAGTAGGTACCTCTAAGCTGCTGTTAAAATAAACCCCCAATTTTGGTGGTTTAAAATCACAGTTAACGATTTTCGGGTCTAGAGTGCCGTCCAAATAAAAACGGCTTTTATACAGGGTGTCCCACGACGGTTCTGCCAGGTAATAACTTCGGAACGCGTCATCCAATATAGTTGAAAATTTGAGGATCTGGGTAACTTTTTGTGCCGCTTCTACCATTTTCGTCCAATTTCACCAGTTTCGCTTCAATTTCGATTTCGATCAAGTGACGTCATCTTTCGAATTTTAAATGTAACTTATGGTATATTATGGCCTTTTTCGTTAGAAAATTAGATTACAAAATCGGCAATGTCATATTTGTTAAGGCTTTGTTAAAGAAAATGATAAAAAATTATACAATGGAACATATGATGATGCGTTCCGAAGTTATCATTTGGGACAAACCTCGTGGAACACCCTGTATATATATATATTTTTTTTTTTTGGGAAAAATTCCATCAAACAGAAACGTTTAAGCTATTAATGCGCAAAATGCATATTTTCCATCAGAAAATTTCAATCAAAATTGAACACCTTTCAAAAATCAACTACGAAAATTCCCTACCAATTTGAGACCAAATAAATTGGTTGATATAATCCACAAGAAAGGGAGGCTGCATTACTCCTAACCTCCTTAAGTACCTATTATTGCTTGAAAAACGACCAATAACTTTCAACGTTGTTAGTAAGAACACGAGTACAAACTCCAAGTTATGGGATCTTGAAATTTAAATTATTCTTTGGTCTTCGATTGCTCGCTCCGCTCGCCAAATCTCAAAGAGAAGATCCTTGGAAATGTAAATCTACCAAAAAACGTAAACGATTGGAACCGAGTTCGGAATCAAGTTCAACAGCGACTTCAGAACATTTGGACTTTATTTCGGATTCCATCTAGAAGACGAAAATATGAAAAAATACGAAATTTTACACGCCTTTGCAGTCAAAATTAATACATACACCTCAAAAGTCTGTAAAGCTCTTCACGAATATTTGCGTATTTGGCTCGGTATTTGGCATCCATCTCGGATAGGTGAAAATCTAGAAAATTGAAACGAGAGAAACAGAGAGACGAGAACACATAAACAGCCAAATATTTGTAGCTATTTGCCGAAGGTGTGATGGAGGCCTAATATAACAAGAATGCATTCTCTCTACTTTTTCTTTCAGATTTAGAAACACTGAAGCACAAAACTGGACCTCGAATGAAACGAGGCCTTGAAAGTTTCAAAATGAGTAGTAAAAACGATGCTCATAGATGATGTCGAACCAAGTGTTGAACTATTGCAAGGTTGCCACTTCTCATGTAATGAAACCTCAAATGAAACATTCCTTAGAAAATAAAAGTTGATGTTTCTAACTGACCAATAGGGACTCAGAAGAATATTTTACTTAAAGCTTAGTTGAATAGTTTAGTTGAAGCTCTGTTACTCCTAAATTAAAGCAAATTCAAAGCCATATCATAATTTTATCACTACAGAACTTCGAGTTATTACCACAAAATTTCCTTAAATTACCCCAAAAATTTCCTTAAATTGCCTTAAATTACCAAAAATTTCCCCGAATTACCACTATATTTCCACTAATTACCATATATTTCCACTCAATACCACTATATTTCCCCTAATTTCCAGTCATTACCACTCATTTCCCATAAAATTTCCACTAATTACCACTATTGTGTACACTAAATTACCACAATGAAATCCCCCTCGCAAATATACGAATATTTGAGCATTAATAATTTGTTACCAGCAAAACAATCAGGTTTTCGTGCTGGATATGGTTGCAATACAGCTTTAGCAGAAATTACGGACAATATCTATCAATCTCTTGATGATAATAAAGCTTTCATTTTAGTCCTGCTTGATTACACTAAAGTGTTCGATATGTTAAACCACGATATACTTTTGGCAATTCTAGAATCAATGAGATTTGATGTGGAATCTCTTAATTTTATGAAATCTTTTTTACAGGATAGGTCACACTATGTTGAACTGGATGGTAAAATGTCTGATTCCCTGAACGTTACGCAAGGCGTACCACAGGGAAGCATCCAGGGTCCGCTGTTGTATTTAATTTATACTGCCAATTTCTTTAAATTTCTGCAGAATTGCGGTTATCACTTTTATGCTGATGATACCCAGCTGTACATCAGCTTCGATTTTAGGAATATAGAACAAGCCAACACTTTACTTAATAATGATTTAAGCCGCCTTCTAAAAGAATCTAAAAATCATCTTTTGCAAATTAACCAAAAAAAATCGGTAGCTCTTTTATTCTGCAGTGACATTGCAAGAACAAATATTCATCAAAATTTAACCATTCAGATTGGAAATGATAAAATAGAACTAAAGAACAATGCGAAAAATCTTGGCCTTATAATTGATAACAGATTGCATTTACAGAACATAAGTATTGTGGAACATATTAATCAAAAATTACGTTTGGGCTACTCTACTTTAAAAATGCTCTATTCACATAGGCATTTTCTCAATGAAAATATTTAAAAAATGCTTTGGGATTCATTGTGTTTATCACATTTAAATTTTTGTTCAAATGTATACGGTCCTACAATGTATATTTTTAATTCAAACCGAATTCAAAAACTTCAAAACTGTTGCTTGCGATTTATTTATGGTATTCGGCGAAGACAAGGAATTTCACATAAGCTGAAGGATGCTGAGTGGTTGAATATGTACTGTCGTAGATGTCTCCATGAGGGTGTTTTTTTCAATAAAATTTTAAAATTAAAAAAACCCTCTTATCTGATAGAAAAAATATCTTTACGCTCAAATGTTCATAGTCGCAGCCTACGTACATACACGTAATTTATTAACAATCCCAAAACATCATAAACAATTATATTTGCAATGTTGCCAAACTGGCACTGGCACAATAAAACATAGGTGTTCTATTAAATGTTCATTTATTTGAAAAGTTATGCAACTTTTGAAATATCGCCTAAATCATTACATAAGTGTTGATGAACTAAGTAGTACATCATCGTTGCCGGTTCGAAGCCCCTACAAAAGAGGAGGGTTCAAACCACTTTGCCTGGCCACCTATAGACTTTGCACCTAGGGTAAAAAGTAACCAAGCTCACAGAGCCGAAAATGTGCCTTGTTATTGGTCTGATTTGAGGTTGACTACCTACCACTATTCGAGAGAAAGGCTAATGAAATGAAGAGAACAAACTTAGAATGGCCACTGAAATGGCTGACTATCAAAGTTCCATGATTTTTTTTTTGAAAGTGTAGGTAGGAAGAAACTTTCATATGAAATTACCAACTGATACACATTCATCACCTACTGTCTCACAATTTCAAACAGATTATAGATAAATACCTAATACTTGCCCAGGAATAAGCATTTTGAAGCCTCTATTTCACTGTCAACTGAGATTTTTCGCGCATTGCTACATTTAGGATTATCCATCTTATATGGAGGATCTTCCAAAAGATCTATTGCATAAGTATTATAAAACTCGACATAAGATATTTGCAGGCAAACTTTTACGTTTTCAGGTTCGTTGTTTTTTAGATTGAACAAATCTCGAGTGATTCTTGGCAGTATTCCATATTCCTAGAAGATAAATACTTATGGAAAATATCTGAAGGAGAATTAAAGATCGTAAACAAGGATGACGTTCCACTTTTGTAACTTTGTAAGATTTCATTTTTATTGTGATAACTACCAATTCAAAATTGGAATGGAAATATGTATAATTATAATAATTCGTCATTGGCTAAACCGAAATATACCTAATAATATGATCTTATCATATTCTTTTTTTTTTTAACATTCATCTATTTGTGACGCTTTTAGGATGTTCATTTATACTGATTTTCTTGCTTCAAGCAGATCTTAGCAGCCGATCGGCGTTCACTTGTTCCATATATTAAGCTCATAAATAGCAGCTCCTAGCTGCAGATCTACCTGATTTTTCGAGCAGGGTAGAGTAAGTTCAAATTTGATAATTATACATTATGACATTTCAAAAATGTCTGGTAAAGACTATTATAAAAGTGGATGTTCGGCAGAAAAGTTCTCTCTTTGTCTTACCTCTTCAGTTTTAAGTAGCCCGCTGATAGTGAACGTCTTACCAGATCCGGTTTGTCCAAAAGCCATAATTACCGCATTGTGATGTCCATTTATTACACTTAAATTCAAATACACTTTAAAAGCATGATCGATACAATTATTGATGTTCTTACTTCTCCAAAACTCCTTCTTTCACTTTATTATAAATTGTCTCCTGAGTAGCGTCCATGAATATTCCATCGTTGCAAAACTCCCAGTAATTTAACTTTTTGCTCTTGTATTTTGTGCTCAATTCTTCTAGATGTCTTATGTATATTTTATTATTTGGTATGTCTAATTTAATGTATTCAGAGTCAACGAATTCACTTGGATATACTCGGAAAAATATCCGTTTTTGTCGACATAGATCCGCATGATTAGACATATTTTCTTCGGTCATCGAAATAGTGACATAAGTCGAACTTTGACGTATGGTCTTGTGACGGTCTTACAATGTCCAAAATAGTGTCCAATAAATTGATTAACGGACTTAACCCCTTTAGCTTGCTACATCAGACTATGCAAGTATTCGCGATTCGAGGTGAGCGATGCGTGATTCATCCAGTTCGCTGTAGTTCGGAGCAATTCGCAAAACAAAGCGAACAGACTATGCTCTTGTTCACGAATCGTGATACAATTCATAGGTACTTATCATTAATCAGATTAATATCGAGCAAGAATGTATTATAGTATGTTCAAAGAGAAATAAAATTCAGCCACCAAAGTCTGTTTTTTTTTAAAGATAAAAGTCAAAAGACATTATGTTGGCAATACAATGTAAAATTGTGAATGCCTTCAATTTTTTTATGTAGAAAAGGCTTGTGTTGCCAACATCAACTGGTGGACAGTTGCTTTGCAACATGGAAAATTTTACCCAAATTCAAATTTCGATATTTGCGGAACGGAAAGAGATAGGTATCGAGTTGAGGTATTCGGGAGGTTCTTGAATAACTCTTTGAGAACACGTACAAGGTTTGACCGGTATATTTCTTTCATTTATCCACGTATACAGGGTGAGTAAAAGAAGTCACGTTTTTTTAGTAAAGTTTGGGGCTATGCCAGATTCTGAATTTTTGATCTTGGAAATTTTTATATGCTTTTTTTTGATCTTTGAACAATCTCAAAAAAAATAATTTCTCAAATTTTTCGAAAGTTGGCTATAACTTAAAATATCGCATTTTTAAAAAAGAGTTAAGTACATTTATCCCTAAAAAAGTGATTTTTTCGGAGTTTCGCTTGACAAAATGGGTATTTTTCCCATGCCTTTGCATGAAGTAGAATTCATTGGCCCCGAGAAAAGATTGAAGCACTCATTGAACGTATTGCCAACAGTGGCGTGCAGAAAAAAATTGCTTTTGACATTATGTAGGTAATTAAAACCGAATTTATAAATTAAATTATACTACGCAATTAAACAGCTTAATGAACAAATCCAAGTTATTACTCTTAATACAGGAGTGTATTCCAGTGGCGTGTTATGTACCAGTCCATTTTCAGTTATTTTTTAGGTATTTTTCCACTAATTTCAAAGTTCACTCACTATCTATTCTATTTATTTGCCTTCTTTCAGAAACCCTTAAACAAAAACAACATTAAGCTTTAGTCTTCTTAAAATAATTACTACTTAATGCGGTAAACATAATTATTAATCTCTAACATTTTTATAGGATATTAAGTAGGTACTTCGGGATATAAAAAGGGCATTATTAGAAGAGCAAAGTAGTTAGTATTGTCCGTCGATTTTAAACTGATACTCGGACGGAATGTCAGCTGGTGGTTCCCTACATTAGAACGCCAATGGTTACCTGACATCACACCTGTTTTTGCCATATGAATCACCCCCTCGCTCCTCATACCGCAAGTGTCAGTTGAAAATCGACGAACAATACATTCACGTTTCCTCGAATAGGTTTAAGTACTGTATTTGAAATATAGAATTAAAGTCATCAAACGGAGTTTCCCTACAAAGGATCACAACAGGCGTAACACCAAGAGCATCTTTTGGTTTGGTGGGAAGAACTTGAAAATTGGTATTTTTCAAAATGCTATGATGCTGGTCTACACTGCTGTTCATCTTTCATCTGGAATTTTTTAACCTTGTTATTTAGCATTAGCGTACCCTCTTGGATAAAAAGGTCCTTCTTTGAATAACCTCCCGCAACTTTCGGCTCAACCTCGATTTTTTTTTGTCATGAGTAGCTTTTTTTTTAAAAAATGCAATTGACTGATCTGAAAAGTAATGGAGACCGACTTTCCCAAAAAAAGTAATTTCTCAAATTTTTCGAAAGTTGGCTATAACGCAACTTATCGAATTTTTAAAAAAGAGGTACATTTATCCCCAAAAAAGGGATTTTTTCGGGGTCAATCGGTATTTTTTCTCATACTGTTGCATGAAGTGGAATTTCTTGGGACCGAGAAAAGATTGGAGCACTTATTGAATGTTATTGCCAACAGTGGCGTGCAGAAAAAAATTGGTATACTGTAATTTGTAAATTATACTATGCAATTAAACAGCTTATTGAACAAATACAAGTTACAACTTTTAATACAAGAGTATTTCCTGATTTGGTAGAGAGAGCCAATGGCGGATCTAGAGCACCATCCTGGCGGGGGGTAGAGTTTCCGAACCAGTAACGGCTCGTGGACTATACTTGAAGGGGTTCACACCCAAAGTAGGACTATTTGCTCACTTGCGTGAAATTCGCTCTTCTTTTGACATTGCTTTCACGCATAAAACGTCGAAGCAATGTCAACAAAAGAGCGAATTTCGTGCAAAAAGAGCGAACTTCGCGCAACTGAGAATGAAGCTGGAGCCTCCAAAAAATTATTCGTGTAATTAAATTTTTTTTAGGCCTCTCTGGGGGGGGTAGGTTATTACCCTCCCTCCCCCCCCCCCCCCGTAGATCCGCCACTGAGAAGAACTTTAAAATTGGTATTTTTCAAAATGCTATATGATGCTAACAAACACTGCTGTTCGTCTTTCATATGGAATTTTTTATCTTTTTCATTCAGCATTGGAGTACCAGCTTGGATAAAAGGGTCTTTTGGATAATTTCCCACAATAAATGTATGTCGGCTCGACCTCGTATTTTTTTTCACGGTTATACTTATTATTTTTTTTAATATGCAATTGATGTGCCTCCTGAGAAGAAATGGAGACCGACTTATACACAATAGTCAGTGTTGTAGGAGATACCGTTATTGCTACGCAATAGACTGGTAGATACCTTCTGAGGTACGCTTCCACTAGGCGGAACAGGTCGAGGCGGATCGCATCGCAAAAATCCGTCTACCATAGATTAAAATGGAATTGCACAGTGGACGCAGACTTCTCGGAACCCAAATATGAGTATTATGCCGATGTCGTAGTGGCACACAACTACCAGCCAATGCTTAAAAAACTTTGCGTTTTTATATTTTTCAACCGCTGAACAGCTTTGTTCACTGTGCAGTACTATGTTTTCCTCTAAAATGCACGGTAAATTTGTTCACCACTTTGAAAGTGTTTGAATGATTCAGACAAATTCATCTTGCATGTAAAGCACAAGGACGCATAAAGCAACGTGCCAAACAGACCGCATCCGCTGCAAAATTGTACGAAGGGGGTGGACAGCTGATTTAATATAAAAATCTTGCCAAACGCATGGCAACATTCTGATCTGATGCTCAGCACTGTTTATAACATTTTGACATTAGATTCGGGCGATTCGGCACTCAACTGCTAATTTTCCATTTTTTATTATTTCCTTGATCCACTTTTTTGTAAGCACTATGATGGCATACAAAAACATATCTAAAAAATATATTTGCTGAAGTCTATTCGTATCAAGAAGATTGTACGTCATTGAATTGACATTGAACGTAAACCTGCATTTGAATCTGGTATAATTATTCTTTGCTGACATCACATTCCAATTCGTATATGTTATATCACTATACTCTTCTATCCATCGCTTTATATCATTTTCCTCTAAGATGTTAGCACGGTAAATTTGCTCACCACATTGAAAGTGTTTAAATGATCCAGGCAAACTCATCCTGCATGTTTAAGCACAAGAACACATGAAGCAACGTGCGAAATTTAATATAAAATAGCCTTCAAAAACCGTGCCAGACGCATGGCAACATTCTGACCTGATGCTCAGCGATATTTAACATTTAGACCTTAAATTCGGCACTCCACATGGCTGTAACTACTCAACCATTCCGACCTGAGGCTCAGCACCGTTCAACATTCAAGTACGGATTTCGGCGCTCCGCATTTAATTGCTAGGTGCCTAATCCTATACCGGAATGTTTAGATGCGCTCCGGCCCGATCCGCCTAATGGATGCGTACCTTTAAAAGGTATCTGCAAGTGTATCGCGCAGCTAAAACACTAACTATTGTATGTAAGTCGGTCTCCCTTACTTCTCAAGAGACCAGTCAATTGCACGTTTTTTTTTTTTTAATGGCACCCAAGACAGGAAAAAATTCGAGGTCGAGCCCATTATTGCGGAGGTTACCTATTCAAAGAAGCACCCTTTTATCCAAGCGGGTACGGCGGTACGCCAATGCCAAATAACAAGGTTAAAAAATTCCAGATGAAAGATGAACAGCAGTGTAGACCAGCATCATATCATTTGGAAAAATACCAATTTTTAAGTTCTTCCTACCAAATCAAAAGGCTCTTGGTGTTACGCCACTGGAATACACTCCTGTATTAAGAGTAATAACTTGGATTTGTTCATTAAGCTGTTTAATTGCATAGTATAATTTAATTTATAAATTCGGTTTTAATTACATAATATCAAAAGCAATTTTTTTCTGCACGCCACTGTAGGCAATACGTTCAATGAGTGCTTCAATCTTTTCTCGGGGCCAAGAAATTCTACTTCATGCAAAAGTATGAGGAAAAATACCAATTCTCAAGCGAAACTCAAAAAGATGCATATAAAAATTTCCAAGATCAAAAATTGAGAATCTGGCATAGCCCCAAACTTTGCTAAAAAAACATGACTTCCTTTACTCACCCTGTATAGGTGTATAAATGAAAGAAATATACCGGTCAAACCTTGTGCGTGTTCTCAAAGAGTTGGTCAAGAATCTCCCAAATATCGATATCTCTTTCCGTTCCGCAAATATCGAGATTTGAGTTTGGGTAAAATTTTCCACGTGGCAAAGCAACTGTCCACCAGTTTAGTTACTAAATTTTTGACTTGAGGAATTATCTTTAAAAAAAAAACAGACTTTAGTCATTTAACCAACGATTGCTTGTTTAGTGTGGAGCGAGCAGGTTAATGAGAGGTTCCAGTTAACCCTTGAACCCTAGTTGACTGACCAGTGGTAACTTAGGTTATTACCGCACGCGAGAGAAATTTGCAAATCAAGGACTCCATCAAGTTAGCCCCGCATATCAATTTTTTTAATTTTTTTTTGTGCTAATTAACTGTGCTCCCAGTGTGCTTTACTGTGGCAAAAAGGAATTCAGCTTCCAGTGTGCTGAACTGTGCTGTTAATATTTTTAGCTCAGTTTTTCGTTCAACCCTCGTTTTCTCAAAAAATGCTATGGCGGGGTCAACTTCACGCTCAGCCCCCCCGTTTTTTCGATTATTTTATTGAACAAAAGCAAAAATCAATGCAACTTCCAGTGTGCTGAACTGTGCTATTAATATTTTCACGTTAGATTTTCGTTCAACCCTCGTTTCTTCAAAAAATGCTATGGCGAGCCGGCGAGGCCAACTTGACGCTCAGCCCCTTGGGGTTCCGCGGAACCCAGTTTAAGAATCACAGCCCTAAATCTAAACTTCACGGCGCATACATGGTTGCAACATTTACCATTTTTTCTATAGTAAACAATTTTTCAAAAAGTTAAGATTCCAAGAAATAATATTTTAAATAGGTGGTTTTCCTCACAGTTGTTACATTGCATTGTATTTTCCTTGCATTGCTCCCCATGTGCTGCTTTGTTGACATTGCTTCTTAGTGTGTCCATATAGTAAATAATTATAGCATTGCGTTACAGGCATAATGTAGTTTTCTACTGGTACCTCTAGTCCATAGATGCTCACGGATCTGGGTAAATTTTTTTCTTTGAATGTGAATACACGTTCGATCCCGTCTTTATATATTCAATTTCTCCTTGTTCCTTTGTTATTATATGCTTAAATCTCTTTATGTTTGATACTTGAGACATTTGGACACTAGAATTTTTAATAAATTCTTTACATATTCCTCTCATTATTTCTTTACAGGCGACAGGGGCCTGTTTCATAAGAATGAAGAGTTGATGAGAGACGAGTGAAGAATGAAGAGTTGAGGAATGAAAAGTAAATGTTGGTTTTGTTTCAAAATCAATTTGCGTCTACTCCTCATTATTCATGAAGAGTTGACGAGTAGAAGAGTACACAAAATAATATCCCAGCCAATGAAGAGACACTTCCGTAATTTGTTTCAATTGTTAATCCTCCTCCTTTAGTACTTTGCTTCAAGTCATTATTCAGAATCATTTCCAGGGAAGTAAATTCTTCTTCGGATATCCTGAATCTGGTGTTTGCATCAAAAAGTCTATTCTCTAACGCAGTTTTAAACAAATTTGTAGGTATATTGTGCCAAATGTCTCACCTTAGTCTCTTCCCATATAACTTTATCTGAATCTTTGCCTTTGCTTTGTGGCACATTTTCTTCACCAGAAGAAGAATCATTACTAAATAGTAGATTCTGCATTATCTATATATGATGTGCACTAAACGCATTTAAATTAGAAATAAGGGTCTTCATAAAGTCGTCAGTAAATCAAGTTGAGGAGTGAAATGTGTTCATATGAAATGAAATTCAAAATTTTGTAAACTATTCAACTCTTCAGCTCGTCATTCTTCAACCCTTCACTCCTCAATTCTTGAATCTTGAACGCTTTTATGAAATGAAATGTAACATTATGTCACTCCTAACTCCTCAACTTTTCAACTCTTCATTATTATGAAACAGGCCCCAGTATTCAGAAATGTACATAGTATATTCTCTATCTATTAACTGTTGATTCTCAAGTGAGCTCTTTTCTGCCCTTGGCGTTTTAGATTCTATAATAACTGTATTTTTTCCTTTTTTCATTGGTCTGTTTACATTTTCTAATTTCAAATCACATATTATCTTATCAAGAGCTATTGGATGTAGATGCCCTATGTTGTTTCCCTGGAGACCCTGAACTACTACCTGAAATGGGCATAATGCATTATCGTCATATTTATATTGCTTCTTCAATTTATATCCTGATTTATTATTCTTTGATGTGATTTCCTCATTGCTATTTACATAAATGTCCAATGGGGAGTCATCCGATTTTGCCCCCATAAATAATAAATAAATAATAAATAAAAGATATAATTTGATGTGGAAGTTATATTTTCTTACCTCTTCTCTCTATAGTATTTATTAATTTGACATATTATGGAGTAACACATACACAGGATTCATAAGTATTTTCACGGTAAATGAAAAATTTCAATATTCGTAGTCGTACGAGGGGTTTAAACAAGAACTGGGTCGAATAATCAAAATACAAGTTAAAAGATAAATTTGCGGGACATTGACCTACGCACCTTTTTTATAATTGCATCCGGATAAATATGATGTTGATGTTTTAGTTCAGGAATGTTAGGCAAAATTTCGCCTAATTCTCAAAAAAAAATCCCAGAGTTTTTCTGAGACCTGTTTTGGGTTCCTGTGATAGTGCTCTACAACGCATAAAAAGTCCCCAAAAATCCCCTCATTGGCATTTTTTTTAGAGGCCTTTTAAATATATACAACTTTTACACTAAAAGTTGAGAAGTAGCAATAGTTTCATGTTCGCTGTGAGACGTCGGGGCCATGTTCATATGCATTTGTTCGGTTGGAATGCATGACCACTGTACCAACACACCAGCACGGTAAGTCGTATTTCCCGATTAAAAGGGTGTAACTCGCGGCAAATAGCGCTCAAATCCGTAGAAGTCCTGTTTCTTTCGCGTTTCTTCGTTCCGAACTTTATTTTAAGCTTTGGTGGCATTGAAAAAGTGTTCGGGAGTGACTGGAACAGTACTGGCGTTAAACTGTATCTCAAAGTTCCGGAAATAAGCCGCGTATCTGAACTCGAAACAGAGATATGCCGAGCTGTAGTCTGGCCACGGCCTGCGACGTACGGCGATGTGTGTGCGTTGTATGGGGACCACATTCTAAAACGCTATGGCAGTGGTGCGACTGTTGTATTCGACGGGTACAAGCATAGTGAACTCACTCCAAAGGGCGAAGAGCAGCGACGAAGGTCGTCAGGGAAAACTTCGCCTACACTTGTGAATCTGCAGCTGGACCAGCTGACGTGCACAGCACAGACGAATTTTCTTGGGAACGGAGAAAACAAGGAAATCCTTCTTGCAATGTTGAGGCCAGTGTTGGAGGGTGCTGGACTGACGGTGCTGCAAGCCAGTGGAGACGCAGACCAGCTGATTGTAGCAACTGCACTTCAGTTGTCAGTCACACAAAAATCAGTTGTCGTGACTGCAACAGACACCGATATCTTCGCCATGCTCATCCAGAGATATTCTTCAGAATACGATGTCTATATGCTGATGCCTGGAGTAAGTGGCAGGTCTGATAAAGTCCATAACATTCGTTCAGTGCAATCGAGTCTCGGTGCAGTCAAGAACGTACTTCTATTTGCACATGCAATGACCGGATCTGATACCACATCTGCGTTATTCGGCAAAGGCAAAACAGCATTACTTAACCTTCTGATGAAAAATGAAGAGCTGATGTCAGAAGTGCAGCTGTTTAACTCACAGGGAGCGGAGATTGAAGCACTTGTGTCGCTAGGAGAGCGAACTATCTGCGCTCTGTACGGTGTGCTCGAAAGCCAGACGCTCCTAGGCGTGCGCCACAGCATCTTCACTAGGCCAACGGCCAGGAAAGATCTCACCCCGGAGTTGAAGTTAAAACTCATGCTACCCACGAGTGGGGCTGCACGCTACCATACACTTCGCGTGTATCTTCAGGTAAATATTGTGATTTTTTTTTTCGTCTTGCGTTACTTTTGAATATGTTGTACTCATTCCTATGTCCGGTGCAGGTGCAGAATTGGCTCGGGCACAAACTGGATGCCATACAGTTTGGCTGGCGAGAAGGTTTTGGTCGATTGCTGCCAGTTATTTCGGACGACCCTCCTGCTCCGGACAGCCTACTGAAACTTGTCAGATGTGGCTGCACTACAGGCTGCAATCAGAACTGTGGGTGCCGCCGGGCAGGTATGCCCTGCAAGTCCTATTGCGCAAGATGTGAAGGCAACTGCACCAATAACGAGCCTGTAGTTCTCGATGACGCAGAAACAGACGCTGTGTGCTTAGTGTAAAAGTAGTTTATATTTAAAAGGCCTCTAAAAAAAATGCCAATGAGGGGATTTTTGGGGACTTTTTATACGTTGTAGAGCACTATCACAGGAACCCAAAACAGGTCTCAGAAAAACTCTGGGATTTTTTTCGACCTATATTTCCAAGTTTCCCGGACTATTTGTTCCGGCATTGGAGGTTTGGTACTGAGAATAGCAACCAGACTATTTTCAATGATTTTCCAAGCATCAGGTAGAATTGACTTTGGTTGAAGACTATTTTTCCAGATAACTGTTTTCGTTCCAACCTCCTCTGTCGATTGATTTTTGAAGCGTAACAACAGTAAGTAAAAGAACATTCAACATTTTCTAGATATTGCCGTTTGCCGTTGATATTGCGAAGTTAAGGTGAGCGAATACTAAATCAATAAGACACTTTCCACCAGGAAGCGATAAGCGGTACCGTCGCGTCGCCCATTTAAAGGGGGTGTGCGCCAAAAATTAAAGTTTTAGTGTGAAAAAATCTAAGAATAACTGTTCAAACCTCGTGGTGTGGACGACGCTCTCGTGACGTCACGAAAACTTCGTCCAGCCGCGCTCCGCATTGTTAATTTGATTGTTCCCGGCACGCGTGAGTGGTTTTGGTTTAGATTATTGCAGGTACCACAGGAGAAACATAATATGTAAATTTAATTAACTCCCTTTTCTCGTGCGTTGCTTGAGCTTTCGTGACGTCATAGGGTGAGATGCGGTATCTTCATAGAGCCACATCTGCGGTATTATTTGTCATAGAGGGGTGCGGATTTCACTGTTATTCTTAGATTTTTTTTCTCTTTTTTTTGAGATGAAGTTGTTTTTTTGGCGCACACCCCCTTTAACTACGTGCTTTTGTTGAACATAAACATTTTTTTTTTCATTGTGGACATTGGCAACAAGTGATGATACCTACCTACACATATAAAAATAATCACGAAGTTCGGTAGATTAAACTATGCAAATGACAAAAGCGTTATTTTCTACATTTCATCCCCTAATACATCCAGCCCGTACAGGACGAATCTTCGACGACCAACGGATTTAGCCTAATTTGGGGTTGGGGGATAATTGAAAAAAAAAAACAGCTTTTAATAAGACAATGCAAACAGAAATCGTTTCCATACGACTTTTAGGTGGCCGCAACGGCGCGGCGCCCGCAGAATTTGTCACAGGGGTGGGGGGGGGCAAATAAACTGCTCTTGGGGGAATCGTGGAAAGCGCACCGCAGGTGGAAATTTTTTTTTGGGCCACAGCCAAATTTTGCTAATTGTAACTAATATAATAAACATTAAAAAATTAAAACAATTTGGAAATACTTTTATTTCGGACGGGAAAAAAAGTTAATTCTCTTTTGATAGGTGCACAAATTACTTTTCCTTGTGGGAAAAAAATTAAAAAAAAGTGTAATCAAAACTAAAACAACACAACGTAAATGAAATATTCCAAATTAAAAAAAATACATTTTTCCGACTAGGTAAATGCAAATTGCATTCTTCTTGAGTCTCTCCCAAACCTATTAATAACTTCTTCATAAAAATCTTTATTAACCAAGTCATTCATTAATGATCAATGAATTCAAATCAGAAAAAATAAAAATGGAAATACCTAATTATTTTATTTTTTTTTTTCTCTTTTATTTTCAAGTATTTATATTAAAAGCCAGGGGAGGCAGATACCCCTCCGGACGCCCATGGGTGGCCGTGCATTTCTACTATATAGAGTATATAAATAGTTCAGCAGAAATACATTCTTTCATTTTTCCTCTCCGCTTTTAAGAGATTATCGGCAACCTTGTAAACAGAGTCACTTTTTTCTCACCTTCTCACTCCACTCTCTCATTTCTATTTTTTCACTTTTGCAATTTTTTCACTAGCAAACCCGTTAGAGAATTAAATTTTTCGGAAGAAATTCCTATTTTTATTTGCAATTGACAAGAAATGAATAAATTAAATATATTATGTATTCGAATAAAATAATTTTATATTTGAAATAAAAAGTATTACTTATTGGAATTAATCCTGAGGCAACCAAGGACCGGTGAGCTTACTTCCTGGATGATTATTTCTATTATTGCAATAGTCTTTATTACACGACTCACAATGAAATTGAGGAACCTGGTCTTCCAAGTATCAAGTAAATCCTTTTTAATGTTGTCACATCCTTTTTTATCATTGCAACCTCTTATGTACCTATAAAAATACACATTTTTTCATATAATATGATACATTTGGCTGTATGAAATTTAAGTGATAATCCATGGAAAAATACTCGGAAAAATATGATTAGATCAAAAAATATTACCTTCCAAAAAATTCTCGGGCCCTTGAGTTCTTATATTTGTTTTGAATTTTAGCTTCATACGTGACACAGCCATGAGGGCAATTAAAGACTGGCCAATGTCTACCTTCGCAGTTGCCATATTTACTTTCGTCTGTGCAATAGTAACATTTTGTGGCCTCTAAAAAACAAATAATTAGATATTTCGTAATAGAAAAATTAAAAACAAAAAGGTATAATGGATTTTTTTTATTGGTACCCCATTTGCTGTGCAGTTGTATTTATACTTGAAAAATCGTGCGTGTTTTAAAGACTATTATAATATCCACTCATGGTAGGGTTTTTGGGAATGCCCGATTCAATGGTAGTATTTGCAATGCTGACAAGTTTACCCTCTTTATTCTTATTGTAATTAATTCAGCGTCCCTACATTACTAAAACCCCTAATTGCCGAACCTCCATTTGACTTGGTTCTTGAAATATGACATCACAGTTTTTTGTTGAAATGTATGGAAACGATTTAGTATTTCATAATAGGCTTCAGAAAAATGAGATAAATGCCAAGTAGTCCGGTTTCAATTTGTATTCCGTTTGCAGATTTGTGATACAATATTGGGCGATACTTTAAAATTTTCAGAATGCCCCACAGATTCCTAGAGTGGATGAGCCTACTCTTGCAAATGTGTCTGAGGGCAGAAACAACCCCCTATAGCCACTCTCTTATAAAATATTGCAAATTAGCTTTGTAAAGTATAGAAGAACATATCTTAAATTTAAAGAGTAGGTAGTATTTGTCATTACAAAAAAGTTTTTGTCTAAATTCAAAATTTAGTCATAAAAAAAAGCCTTAAATACAGTGTGTCCCACGGTGGATGGCGTATTAGACGCTAAAAAGCGGATCATTTTGAAAATTTGGCAACCGGGATAAATGACTGTGATCTACACTTTAAAAATATTTTTGTTTATGCGGTGTTGCCGCTTCTACTCTAAACCAGTGGCAACATCGCTATTTTAAATGAAACACCCCGTATTTAATTGCATATTTGGATTCTACATAAAATTCTGAGCAGATTTCATGTGATATACCCTCGGATATACCCTATACCTAAGTTCAACTGTTTTGGAAATATTGACAGTTGAAAATTGACTTTTTGCAACTTTGGCAGGCTGTAAAACCTGAACGGTTAATTTTAGAGAAAAACCGATTTTACATTCCTATCTTAGATTTTTATAAACTATCATTTGACACCAATTTTGAATTTAATCCATGATTAAAAATTCCAATTAAATTTAATCTCCGGTTAAATTCAAAGTTGGTGTCAAATGATAGTTTACGAAAATCTAAGATAGGAATGTAAGATCGGTTTGCCTCTGAAATTAACCGTTTAGGTTTTACAGCCTGTCAAAGTTGCAAAAAGTCAATTTTCAACTGTCAATATTTCCAAAACAGTTGAACTTAGGTATAGGGTATATCACATAAAATCTGCTCAGAATTTTACGTAGAATCCAAATATGCAATCACATAAAGGGTGTTTCATTTAAAATAGCGATGTTGCCACTGGTTTAGAGTAGAAGCGGCAACACCGCATAAACAACAATATTTTTAAAGTGTAGATTATGGTCGTTTATCCCGGTTGCCAAATTTTCAAAATGATCCGCTTTTTAGTTCTTTATAAACGTCTAATACACCATCCACCGTGGGACACCCTGTATATCTATCAAAATCATTACAAAAATTAATTAATTATTAGCGTCTAGGTCATCAACACTACACACCGCCAGTAGGTCACCAGGATACATACGATCTAAAGCAGACGCAGCGTCATCAAAAGTCTAATTACCAAATCCTTCGATGTGGAGCACACAACAGAATTTTGTCAGCAATTTATTCATTTATTCTTTTTAATTAATTACCATTGTTCATGACGTTTGTCAAAGTTGCATTTTTTGTATATAAATGGCTGTTAATTGTTTAATAAAAATCAGTATTAATCCAACAGTGGTTTTACTCCCCAGTTACCAAACTTCCTGGGTGTCCTAACCCAACCTACAAGCTACAATCAACAAACTACTAAGTGTTCCGAGCAACCGCCTAAATTCCCACACAGGAATTTACATTGGTCCTTCGAGCAAAAAGGAGATAAAAGTTGAAAACCAGCCCTCCGCAACAGTTCTCCCTTCATTCATATCCTTTAGCGTATACACATACACTCGCGCCCTTCGTGGTTAACGTTTAGACACCGGTCTAAACACCCACACAAAAATACCTACATCCCTTCCTTGCTATAAGCAAGTGCCTTGTCTGGTTACAGCATCCCGTTCCTAGTATAGCAAGTGCCTTGTCTGGTTATACACTCCTTTTTACATCCTATTAATATACACATACACTCGCGCCCTTCGGGGTTAACGCTTAGACACCGGTCTACAGCACCTACACATAAATTCCTTCCCGCTCTAGCAAGTGCCTTGTCTGGTTGCAGCATCCCATCCTCAACAGAACAGAACAAAGAAATCAGTTCAGATACCAGCAGATAGCAGCAAAAAAGAAAAAAAACACCAGGTCCTGAAGTTAAAGTAATAAGAAGCCGGAACATACCTACACAAAGAAGAGAAAAAAGAGCAGATAACCAATAGCAGTAGGCAAAATCCAAGATGGAAGAAGCCAACGAAATCGCTAAAGCACAAGAAACCTTGGGCAAAAAGTTGAAAAC